TTATCAATGAGAATTTTTTCACGACGAAGAACAATACAATTTTGATCAATTGATTTTGATGTTTGAAAACATTTTCTAATAGAACGATCTAATATTATATTATCATTTATGATATCCGATGTTCGATCAATCCAAAAATATTTTGTCATATTAAATGCATTTGAAGTATAAGAAAATGGATATCCATTAAAATAATTTGTAGTTAATGTTAATTCGGGTATTAGATCTTGAATTTCTAAAATATCATTTATTTTTGCAAGTACACCACCAATAGATTTACAATAAGATTGTGCAGTTGAAGAAGAATTTTTCTTTACTAAAAAATCCCTTTGTACACATCGTTGTTTATCATTACTAAGTTGAAAATCTCAAAAGAAAAAGTAAGAAAAATTTCTTTGTTTCTATTTAATTAACAAGTTTTTATGTTTTTTTTTCTCTTACTACTAGGACATTTTGGATTTTCGACATACATTGAATATAATGTTGAATTTTTCGCATTTCCACATGTATAAAAGTAATTACCTTGACATTCTTGAGTACAATTAAAATCTAGAAGTGAAAATCTATCACTCCGTTTTTTTCCCATTAAAATATTTGTGCATAAACATTTATTTGAATTAAGAAGAGCATATTATTGTCTATATTTTTTACATAATTCTAAACAATGACGTGGTTGAATATCACTTATATGATTTAAATTGAATTGATATATTTTTGATTGATTGACAAAATTTAAATGTATACAACCATCATAAACGAAATTAGGATATGATTTAGTATATTCATAAAATTTGCTATAGCTCCATGAAGATAGACTTTCAGCAACATATAAGACAACGATTGTCTCTGTATTACCACAGTGCTCATTTTGATTACCTAAAATTGTGAAATAATTATATGAATAATGTATGTAGTCATTTACTCAATCACGTATAAATATAAATTTAAAACTCAAGTGGACAATTGATTTTTACAGTAAGAAAACTCATTAGCAAAATTGTTTTCCATGACCCTTTGTTTTCTTGTTTTCGAGAGATTTTGA